TTTTTTTTTTTTTTTTTTTTTTTTTTACAGTGTAGGATTTCGTGAGAACTGCCTTCACCACAAAGTTCTGGTAACCACACAGACAACATACACCAAGTCTGAATGCATTTCCTATCCTTTTGCATTGCACCTTTATGCTGTAAAGGCAGTTCCACACTTGTCCATATATTCATTGAATTGGAAGATTGTTTTTTGCAACTCTTGCAAACCTTAATTTGCATTTAGAAATTCAGAAATTTAAAGAAAGTCACAGGCGAACAGACCAACGCTTTCTACTGTGCTAAACAAGTTTACCGCAACAAATTTTCACAGTTGGTGTAGGCACTCATCACAATGTCCTGTCAAAACAACACCACAAAATTAGCACTTTGGTTTATCAAATTTCCTTGTTGAATTAACACTTTTGCATGCATTTACAGTGAAATGAGCCATACATGCTCTTAAATATGCGCTTAAATTTAAAGAAGTGCATTTTCAAGGTAAACACCCAACTATTTATTTATGTGGGCTGAGCCCATGCATAAGCTACATGGTGAGAATGCTGACAACAATGATGAGTCTGCAAAGCCAATAGAGTCTAAAACACATCCAGCTTTGATTAGCATTATCATATTCCCACTCCTAATATTGTAAATTGTATTACATATTCGACATTAAACTGTATTATGGACAACGTGAAACGTGTTCTCTGTCCATGTAATCGTAAATGAACTGACCCTTTAAGGCCAGTCCACACCAAGAAAAATAACTATAATTAAATATAGCTGCAAGAAGCAATTAAGGGGCCAAGCACAACAGAGGCAAACTGAGGATATAAGCAAGCATGGCAGGGAGCATCAGAACATGGTCATGATCTGACATATGACGTGAAAGGGTGGATTTCCAATTAATACAAATAATGAATATGCAATCATAGTTTTCTTAAAACTAGTGTATCTATTCTGGTATTTATGTTACAAGTAATGTCTGTATTTGGTATCTGAGAGGTGACTGAGGGTCTGACTCATTTCAGGAATGCAGTAATAGTGTTCACTCATTTAGCCCGGCTTCCAGAGAATACATTTGTGTTTGTTTTGTAATAATTCATCTGAATATATTAAATAAAAAAAAGAGTTATCAGTTTGAACTTTGTTCTTATTCATTTCATCATGAGGTTCTCATGATAGCCGTATTAGACATGTAAAGACCAACACGCTAGTGTTTCTGTGTTCTAAGTTAGTTCAAAGCTGGCACCTCTTACTTATTTTTTACGTCCTTTGAAAACCTGGGGAACCCTGTCTTCAGTAAGCTCTCTGTCAAATGACTGAACTTCAAATTTGACTCCTGGTCTTCATTTAGCATATGGTCTCTCTATCAGGTTTAACTGTACTTCCCATACAGAAGTTTCAGCAATGGGCAGTATAGCATTGCTAAGATACTGCATAAAATTCTCAGCTGCACCTTAATATCACATTTGACAGTTTCTATTTTAGCACAAACATGAGTGCAATTTTGGACAGTTAGTAGCAGTTAGTAGGTTTGAGTTAGAGATTCCAAATTTGCTATGGTTAAGGTTGAGACTGTTGTCTTTTTGTATGAACATAAAGTTTAAAAAAAAAATCTGTCTAACTCTAAGTGTATAGGGGTGTCCACACTACAACTATAATGGTAATGTCACAAAGAAAACAATACAATTGGAATAACTTTTTTAGAGCATTTTTCCAGCCTATTTCAGCTGATACAATTAACATTATAGTTGCTATTAGTAATTATCAAAATATCTATGGAAGTAAAATAATGACAGATGTATTAAAAAAACAGTAAGCTGAATTGCACTGAAAAAAGGGGGGAAATGCATTACATTATCAGGGCTCGCATTTTTAGGGGCTGAAATTCAACATGGTTAACACTAACACAATTTTTTTAGTGTGGCTTAATGGACTAATACAAAACTTATAATATAAAAAACAAGCTCAGTATACACCTTATTAATGATGTATAATATATACAGGCACGCAGATGCACTCAGAATATGACTGTAAAGTTTCACGCTAAGCGTTTCCCTCCCATAAAAACCTGCTATAATGAAAATGCTTGTTGGACAGTGATATAAAAAAATCTAAATCAATATACACCTTATTGATGATGCATACTGTACACAACAAGCAGACGAGCCCAGAAAATGCTTTCCCATAGAAAAAACTACTACTTAATGTGGCTTAATGAATTGAGACATGATATAGATTATATAGTATACACAAAACTCAGTATACACTTTATTGATGATGTATAGTGTCCATGGACAGTGCCAAGTCTGTCCCAGAGCCTGTGTCAGAGGTCAAGTCTGTCCCAGAGCCTACACTCGGTCAATGTCAAAGCCTCTGCATGTGGTCACAAGTAGAGTGGTTTCAAATGCTCAAATTCAGTGGTCAAGTCTGGTTCTCCCAAGTCTGGTGGTTTCAGCACTCCAAAGTCAGATGGTCTCAGCTGTCCCAAGTCCGGTGGTCTTGGTGCTCCCAAATCCAGTGGTTTCAGTGCTTTCTAGCCCAGTCCAGTGATCCCAAGTCTGGTCCCGCTAGTCCTAATCAAGGAGGCCGCTATCCTGTCAGAGCCACGGAAGCTGCTCCTTGCTCCTTTATTTTGGCCACGGAGTCCATTTCTTGCACCTTCATTATGGCCAGGAAAGCCTTTCATCCTCTGTCTCTGCCTCGAAAGAAAACTCCCTGGTTTTGCCAAGGGCTACAGAAGGACCCTTCTTCCTCCATCAATTCCACCTGACTAGAAAAACCTCCCAGGTACTGTCCTGTTCCTCTACTGCTGGCTCTGTCCATCAGGAAAAAATCTGACTCTGTAGCTGGACTTTATTCCCTCATTCTCTGGTTCTGTCTGCTCCACACTGGTCCCCTGCTCTGCAGGTTCCACTGTGGTGGTATCCATCTTCCCTAGCTCCACCATGGTCCTCTGTTCTGCCGGCTCTTCCAAGGTCCCCTGCTCAGCTGGTTCCACCAGAGTATGTTGCTCTGCCAGCATCCCCAAGGTCTCCTGCTCTACCTTGGTGGTCCCCTGTTTCATCAACTCCATCCTGGTACTTTGATCCTCAGACTTTGCCTTGGTCTCTCGATCCACCATGGTGTTCTTCCATTCCACCTGTTCCACCCTGGTCTCCTGATCTGTCATGGTTCCTTGTTCCGCTACCACCTCTGTGATCTCCCGGATCCTTGACGCCCCTGAACCCATGTCTGTTACTAATTCACAATTCTGGCCTACCACATGCTAAGGCTTAATTATTATTTTTTTTTTTAAGAATTCACAAATCCTTTACACTACGGGTCTCCCACCTTATTTCATTTGAGAGCTATTTTTATAAAGAATGAATGTGGCTGAGACCTACTTATGTTACACAATACTTAAATCTTAAATAATGCATCATAACGCTCAGCAACAATCCAAACTGATATACACCCAGAAAGAGTTACGTATAGACATCATTCTTTAATGTCAGAAAAAAAGAAAATCAGGGAGCACACTTCTTTATGAAAAAACAGTACTTTGTATATTATACTGTAGCTGTCATCACAAAACTACAGTAATTTTATAATGCATCATAAATACAGATGAAATGGCATGAAAATTTCATATCACTATTATAGTGACCAAAATGATCAAGATCACCACAGTACTGTTAAAATGTGCTGGAAATGTTCAAAAAGTACTGATACTACACACTGAAATCATTTCACCATTTTTTTAACAAAACAAATACAATTAGCAGCATTAAAGACCATGTGCCCAATGGGAACACTAATCACCATAATGACTTTAAACAGACTTAAACAACTTTTGAACACATACCATATGAAATAAATTAAGCCAAACTGGTTTGTAATAATTTAACATGGAAATGATTTGTTTGGAGTTATCTATGTGTATTCTAGTGAGATATAATTTATTTAAATTGTTATTGAGTGGCTGTGAGTCAGTTGTTGTTTTTGTGCTATCTGCTCGTCTCCTCTTTTTTTCTGTTCTTGTTGGTCCTCTTTCTTTTGGTGCTTGTGTAGCGCCCCCTTCAGTCCTAGGTGTATCTACACTTTGGAATTGTTGACGCTAGAACCCAGATTCGTTTAATTGTGTCTCTCTACGTGATTTTACTTAAAGTCAAAATGTAACCCTGCTTTTTTATACTTCTTACAAAGTGCAACGCTGACCCCTGTAAATTGCTTTCCAAAAAATATAGCTACGTATCAGTTCTTTTTAAAATGACACGCTATTTAGCAGAAATATACAATTAATTTATTTAAAAGAAAATAGACAAAAGGAATCAAAATTAATCGAAATCTGTTCTCTCAACTTATAAATAAGCTTTTATCTTCAAATACAGTGCTTGCTTTGACTTTTTTCTTTCCCTTTCCACAATAACACACTATAAAGTAATGCCGGGATTTGAACACCATGCTCCGTACTG